CTAGACAGATGTGACAAACTGCAACATATATACATGATTTAAAGCATAGTGTTTTACTCCATAAACATGTACAACTACTGTATGTCAACAAAAAGAATAAAAATGTGAAAGAAAAAGACTTTCAGATTCTGTTATTCATGGATGAAATATGTGACAAGTCTACTATTTAACATACATTTACTGAGTACCTACTATATGCTACATTCCAGAAAGCATGTTCTCATCATAAGTGGATTAAGGTAGAAGTTTTATTCAGTATTCTCCCGGTGTCTTTTCCTGTTGTGTGATAAAATAACCTGACAAAAGCAGTTCCAGTTTGGAAGGATACTTTTCAGCTCACAGTTCAAGATATGGTTCACCCTGGGAGGGAGGTCAAGGCAGCAGGAGCTTGAAGTAGGTGGTCATATTGCAGCCACAGGTGTGAAGACCAGAGCATTGAATGCTTTTGCTCAGCTCTCTTTGTATTCAGTCTTAGGACCAAACCCAGGGAACATGCTACTCACTTTAGAATGGGTCTTCCACCTCAACCCAGTGATTCCAGATTCTGTAACAAAAACCATCACAAGGAGGCAGCCGTGAAGAAGGCACACTAATTTTTCCATTTGTTCCTCTAAATCCTGTTCTTCTCTCTTGTACCTTATGTGTTTACTTCATGTAGTCATATATTTATAGAGGTAAATTAATATTTTTACACATAAGATTTTATTTTGTACTGCTGTGACAATTTCATTGTGTAGATCCAGGGAGAAAAAGAGAGAAGGATAAAGTCACCACATGGAGACCATCACTTAAGCTTTTCTGCTTCTTAACAGGATTTTCCATCTGGAAGATTTCTTTTCATATCCCTCTCAAAACAGACAGGATGTTTACCATATTTTAAAGATTATAGATAGGTTGCCACTGAAAGAAAAATTTTGTACAGTCACTGTACATCAAGGTTGTCAAACTATCCTGCATGTGAATATACTTAGAAATCATGTGAATAAAAGAAAACATTATTGTGTTTAGGGTAAGATTAAAGTCGACAGCATGCCTCTGGAGGTGGGTTTCATTTAGTCACCATGGTGGGGACCTCTGCTTCTGCTCTTCCCACTACTCTACTGTGCCTTTACCCAACAGCATTCATCAAGACAAATCAATTCTTTTCTGAAGAGGTCTCAAGAAATTGTGGACAAATAACAAATTTTTGGTATTAAAACAGGTTAACACATACACAGCCTTTAGTAATGTACGTTAAGCATATCTTAATTGAACTAGTGACAAGAAAGGATGAACATGCTTGTTAAAGATGTCAAAAAGTTAAAGTTAGTGTCCAAGCTACTCCTAACAGTGCCTCTGCAGCTCTAAGCTCTAGGAAGTATACAATTTATGTGAATACATTAAAGAATTCCAGGTTGGTAAATTACACCCAAGCAGGTTATTAATTTATCTATCTAACTATCTATCATCTATCTATCTATCTATCTATCTATCTATCTATCTATCTATCTATCTATCTATCATCTATCATCTATCTATCTATCTATCTATCATCTATCTATCTATCATCTATCATCTATATCTATCTATCTATCTATTATCTATTTGATTCCTTAATTCTTGGTTATTGGTTGAGGTCTACTCCAAAGGGGTTAAGTCCAAGAACTTCTGGTCTATATCTTCTCAGGCAAAGCAAGTTTTTCAGACGTTTCAGAGAGAATCCCCCATGCAGCTGAACTCATGCAGATGGAGGGGGTGGTTGTGCAGGGCACTAGTGAAAATTGTTATCCCTGAGGGACTTAACTCTGAGTCCATTACAGTAACCATTTAGGATATTATCTCTATATAAAAAGTAAATAATAAATACAGAATTAAGAGTTCTCCTGTCTTTCCTTATAGCCTTGAAGATTGACAAACTTTTTGAGGATGGTCCTACAGTATTAAACATTAAGTAACCAAACGTGTTGGGAATCATGATCAACTGAGACATGAAACTATTTGAAATGGCTTTATGTCACAGGAGACTGTAATTCTTCAGATTCTTGTATAACTTTGAATGAATGGTTAATGTTCACCTAAAAAGATAGATTTTGGAGATTATATTCAAATCTATTTGCATTTGATTTATAGGTCATTTGGTGTGATTATTTTTGTTAAAGTTCTCTTGTGCTCTTAACTAAGAGCTGAATTACATTAAATATTACAAAGTCATTTTGGGTAAATTAATATTTTTGATGCAGCAAGATATAATCATAAGAGATGGGCAGCTGAGCAGGGCTCTTAGTTAAAGAGCTATTGTGAGTCTGTGGTGGTGTGAATGAGAAACGTTCCTCATAGGCTCAGGTATTTGAACACTTGGTTCCAGTTGTTGGTGATGTTTGGGGAGATTTAGGAAGCATAATCTTGCTGGAAGAAGTAGGTCACTGAAGACCAGCTTTGAGAGTTTAACCCGTGCTCCACTTCCAATTCACTCCGTTTTGCATTTGTTGTTGAAGAAGTAATCTCTCAGTTCTCTGCTCCTGGTACCAAGCCTGTCGCTTGCTGCCATGCTTCCCTCCGTGATGGACACTTATCCTGGAATCATAAACAAACTGTTTTCCTCAAGTTCTTTCTGATCATGGTGTTTTGTCTCAGCAACAAAAAAGTAATTAATACAAAGTCCCTGTTCAACAGACAGAAGTTTAGGGAATTAACACTTTGACACCTCTTTCTTCTGTCTTTTGATAAATTACTGGCCAAATTTAGTGAGAAGCCACAGGGCAAAGGAGTCTAGACAATGTACTCTATGAAATGACCCTTAAAACACTTTAACACAGAACTCACTCAGGCGTGACATTCCATTGAATGAAGTTTATGTTATCCAGAAGAAAAGTCAACAGAGCATTATGGTGGGATGTTTTTCATCTCTCAAGCATTTTTATAAATTAAAGATTTATTTGCACTACAGAACTATATCAGGAGAAGCAGCTTCACATGTCTGCATTTAGCAGACATTAGTAACTTTTGTGAGCTGAAAGCTCCAAAATGTTCCATCTGGAAACTGCTATTTTCTAGACTGTTACATTGGCTCCATAGAGATTTGGGTGAAGCAAGAACTTAGAGAGACAAACAGAAAGGATTGCATGACTTCATTTGCTGTCTGTCAAAAAAAATTCAGTTTCTATATCGTAATGTACTTAATGATGTCATTTGTGAATACCCAGGTGCCAGCTACCTATAGCATAAATAAACTTTATTCAGTGAAATGCCATGATAGCTATGCGGATCCAGTATTATGTCTTTCATTTTTACTGTCTGGTTGATCTTGGCTGACTTTGCATCATTTGGACAATTATTTCTATTGAAGGACCCGACTGACAGCAGGAAGGCCATTTTAGAAAAAGAACTGTAATCAGCCATTCGATAAGCCAAGATTCTAACCCAGGTCTTGTGAAACTAGCAGTGGAAGATAGGACGTTTGCAGTCGGACCACCTGCCACCACCCTGAGGCCCCTACCGGGAAGTTAGTGATAACAGCCCCTACTGGGAAGTTAACGATAACAATCAGTTTCACCCATAGCCCCCTCTGAATTTGGCAATACTGTTTCCTCATACCTTGTACCCATTGAAATGCACTAATAATAATCTTGTAACCATGCATCTGCTTCTGTACCTTGCTTCTGCTCTATAAAAAGCCCCCCCAAACTAAGCCCGGCACGCAAGTCCTGACCCGAGCGGGACTCTGCGTCCGCAGGCGCCTGTGTATGAATAAATTCCTCTTGCTTTTGCATCCCGAAACTTGGTTTTGTCCCTGTGTGTTGAGCGCGATTCTTCAATGGGAGCAAATGATGTCAGTCTAAGTCCTTCAGAAGTTTCACAGCTGAGTTATATAACCACCCATGCATCCTTGCGATATAGGCTGTTCAACCTAGGCCAATGCAGGGGGGAGCAGGCCTTAATGGGGTGGCTGGTTGAAGGCATTAAAGATACATGGTTGTCACCAAGGGAGACTAACATGATTAGCAGGGGCTGGAGGACTATAAAGGAGG